TGCTGCTGCTGTTGCTGCTGCTAACGCAATACAGGGGGTGACGACTACCAGTAACTTGTCATAGGGGCAGGCTCAGATCTTCACATTCTATATTCGGAATGAAGATGTGAGTACTGTGATACTTTCCCTGGTTTTACTCTGAGCATGACTAGGGAGTGGAGAATGTCTAGTTATTTCTCATATCTTAATTATAGGAATTTCTCAGTGTTTTTGGCAATTGACAATTTAATGAATTAGTTTTGATGTGAGGAATGTGTAGCTCTGTTCATCATTGAGATTTAAGAAGTGTGTGTTCATTTGATATGCGTAATCATTACTGTACTAGAGGCCTGGTGCATGAAATTCGTGCATGGGGGTGAGGTGGGGGTCAGTGTTCCTCAGCCCAGCCTGCACCCTCTCCAATCTGGGACCCCTCGGCGATGTCTGATTGCTGTTTAGGTCAGATTCCATAGGGATTGGGCTTAAACAGGCGTCAGACATCCCTTTCACAATCCAGGACTGCTGGCTCCCAACTGCTTGCCTGCCTGCCTGCCTCCTTGAGTGCCCCTAACCACTTCTGCCTGCCAGCCTGATCACCCCCTAACCACTTTTCTGCCAGCCTGGTTGACGCCTAACTGTTCCCCTGCCAGCCTGATAGTCCCTAACTGCCCTCCCCTGACAGCCCGGTCACCCCCAAATGCCCTCCCCTGCATATTCCCTCTTTATTAGATAGGGTTTTTTCTTTAACATATTGGACCGTGTACCTGCTGTGATCTTGACAAACCAGTAAAAATGTAAACCCAAACTAAAAGTGTCATAAAATGAATGCATTAAACAGGAATTTCATGAGACCTTGGAAAGGTGATATCATGTGGTTGTTTCTTCCTTTTTTCCTTCTTTTGCTTTTTCTTGGTGTTTCATCTTTTGTCCTTTATTTCTTTTCTTCTTTTATTCCTTTTCTGTCAAAAACCACTCTGCTGGGGGCAAGGGGAATTCCAAGGCGATAGGTGTGTGTCGGGGGGATCACTCCACGGGGGTGCCGGCCCTTTGGAGGCTGACACCCCAGGCCGCCCCAGGGAAGGGATAGCTCTTGGGGGCACAGCTGCCTCCCAGGTCTACAGCCCCAGCTGTGGATGGGAGCTGATCGCTTGTGGGGGAGGGCATAGGTGGTTGTGGGTGCCTCCCAGGCTCATAGCCCAGGCCTAGGCTAGGAGCAGATCGCATGTGGTGGTGGGGGGAGGGGGGGAGCGGGGGTAGAAGGGGGGGGGGGCTGGGGAGAAGGTCGCAGCCGCTGCTCAGGCCATGGCTAGGGTCGTCCCTGGGAGCGGATTGTGAAGGGATTGTGCGCTGCCTCCCAGGCCTATGGCCCGGGTCGTGGCTGGGAGCTGATCATGCCAGGGGTGCATGGCTGCCTCCCAAGCCACTGTCCAGGTTTCCACTGGGACCTGATTGTGCCAGGGTGTGCATCACCTCCTAGGCCTATGGCCCAGGTCACAGCTGGGAGCTGATTGCTCTGGGGGTGTGAAGATACCTCCCAGGCCAACAGCCGGGGCCTCGTGCTGCCTGCTCTCAGTGGCAGCCCTCCCTGGGCCTGAGAGGACTGGTTGCTGCCATCTTGTGTCTATGGGCGTTGCCATTTTTGTCGTGGAGTGATGGTTAATTTGCATATTACTCTTTTATTAGATGGGATTATCCTTTAGGCAATGGTCCTGTACTTTTGAGGGAGGAGCAGTATTGATTTGCTTTACTTAGCTATTTTGCTTGGCATGGCGTTGTGGAGCTTTTTCTTCTCTTTGGTTTGAAGGTGGGATCAGAGTGGCATGTATCTGATACCTAACCCATGGACAGTTCTGACACCTGCATTATATAATTTGTTTCACCCTAATGTGGTATTTTAAAGGATAGAGTGATCATCTTTTATTCTTTTGGTCAGTTCTTCAAGCTACTGGTGATATCTTTAGGGAATGATGGGCATTAATATCTAGATGGTAGTGGGAACAAGCTGTGCTTTTTTTTTTTTTTTTTTTTTTTTAAGATGCACTATTTTTCATTTAGTTACTGAATCTGTATTTTTAGTTATGTCTTAGGGACTATTTTTAAGCTTTCATGGACATGTTTTTGTGATTGGGCTGGCATAAGGGGCTCTTTGATTTGGAGGGTTCTATGCCCTTTGGTACCACCCATACCTAGGTAATCTACCCTGACCTTGACTTGGTCCTGGTGTGACCACAGACCATGGCTTTGATTACCCTTGGACCTCACCAAGTTTTTCTGACCTGGTGAGTTTTAGGTTCTGGCTGTTTGGTTTTGAGCGGTTAGCCTTTGTGGTGATCAAATCTGTCATCAAGGCTATAACAGCATGGCTGTGGATATTTGAGTCTTGCTTTTTGCTGCTTTCAGGGTTGCAAATTAATCTTATGTATAATTCGGGGAGGAGGAAGGGAGTCAAACATATAGTAACAGAAAGAAACTAGACTTTGGGTGGTGAACACACATTGAATATATACAGATGTTGTATTATAATTACATTTGAAATTTACATAATATTAACCATTGTTACCCAATAAATATATATAATTTCCTACTCCCACCCCTTTCCTGCCCAATCTACTTGGGTATTTAGACTTTCATTACGTTTCCAGTCAATGATCTGGTTTTCTGCACATGATTTCTATTACCTAAGGCTGTAAAATTTACGGATGTCTCCATCCACCAGCCCTACTCAGTCTTCCATGGATTTACAGCTCATTTCCAACTGTCATCTTTTTTTCATTCATTCTATTTGATGGCACTTTCCTCCTGCTATTTCATCTTATGTATAATTTCTTTGTTTTTCTGTTTAAATTTTTTTTATTGATTAAGGTATTACATATTTGTCCTCAATTTATCCCAAACCCCTCCCCATGTATGCCCCCATCCCCCTGTTGTCCTCGACCACTGGTTAGGCTCATATGGATGCACACAAGTCCTTAGGTTGATCTCTCCCCTTTATTCCCAACCTCTCTTACCCTCCCACTGAGGTCTGACAGTTTGATTCATGCCTCCTTGTCTCTGGGTCTGTTCTTCTTCATCAGTCTATGTTGTTCATCATTTCTCCTAGATGAGTGAGATCATGTGCTACTAGAAATACACTTATAAGAACAGAAAATGAGACAAGCAATAATGGTTATGCTGAAAGGCAAATGAATCAGTCTGTAGTGAGTTTCTTTCTGGGCCAACAGTTCTTTTGAGTCCCAGTTTCAATGTCAAACAGTTCCTTATGTGTACATCTCAGCAATGATATTTCAGTTCTTGATTGTGGACAAATGGTGGCAATGCAGGTCCGACCCTCTCTAGTTTGGTCCTGTGCAACCTGCAGTGACAGCTGGCACAGCTGCTGACTGCTAGTATGGCAAGGCGTTGTCAGCGTCTTCCATCTCCGTACTGCTTCTCTTCTGTCTTCATGGTTTCTGTAGTCCTGTCAATTTCTCTCTGTTACAGGAATCCACATGGTCTTGGAGTTTATGTATCATTTCTTGCTTGTTTTGTTTTTTGCTCTTTCTTCAGGTTGTCCCTAAATCACCCTTTTTGGTGTGTATGTGGCTGGTTCTTTGGCAAAAGGTAGAAGATAGCTATTTTGGAGGAACCTGCCAGTAATTGGGTGTATTTGTTTTAAAAGATCTGACTAGTTAACAAGGGCTCTTTTATCCATAGCAAAGGAGAGTCTAGCTCTTTTTGTTCCATTTGGGAAGTTCTACCCTCAAAATACAGCGGCAGCTGACCCTGTAGTTTGTTCCGCAGTTGATTAGATCCTGATGGGACCTGACTGAAGTCTAGAAGAGGTGGTTTTGATTCTGCAGATGAGGTGGATGGTGACCTGTTTTGTAATCAGTAGCTACCTTGTAGCAAAGTGTTATTTGCAAAAAGGAAGAAATAGCCCTGTAACAACAGGCTCTGAGTATAATTGGGTGAATTATAGATTGCTGGCTGAATTGTGGGTTTTACTTGAAACCTAGCCTGGTATCAATGGAATTTTATTCTGTGCACATTAGTAGGGTATCCTGATAACCTCCACAGAGGAATTTTTGTACTTTTGCCCTTTAAATAGTTATTCTTGTAAATTATCTCAGACTAGAAGTTAATCATTTCCAGCTGAGAGTGGGTCCAGTGGCATTGATTTGGGGTTCTAAAACGAAGATGCTCATAGTAGTGCTCTGAAAAAGGGGCTTTTAGAGTAGCTGGAGTAATGTCTTAGCAATTTTTTTTAAAACATATTTTATAGATTTTTAACAGAGAGAAAGGGAGAGAGATAGAGAGCTAGAAACGTCGATGAGAGAGAAACATCGACCAGCTTCCTCCTGCACACCCCCCATCAAGGTTGTGCCCGCAACCAAGTGCATGCCCTTGACCAGAATCGAACCTGGGACCTTTCAGTCCGCAGACCGATGCTCTACCACTGAGCCAAACCGGCTTCGGCTGTTTTAGCAATTTAATGTTTCTCCCTGTGAGATTAACAGCTTTTCCATGCTGAGATGTCAATGCTTTTTGCCCTTCACTTGTTTTTCATTTTTCTGCTCTCTGGGCATCCTACTTTTCTTCTTTCTCATCTAGTGCTGGTACCTTCTTCTAATCCAGCTCTTGCCTCTTTTCCTAGATTCACATTGAGATATAGGGATTGATTTTAGTTTAGATCCTGTTTCCAGGAAAATCTTCAGTAACATGCAGAGACTGGATTTCCAGCTCGTAAGCTTTGTAGTTAACCACATGTCTTGGTCAGGAAAAAGATAAAGAAGATTGACTGTCTTTGTGAATGTTATAGACTCTGCTCTCGGAGAAATCATAATCAGGTCTTTGGGGCCTGGCATTTGTAGCATAGGTTTTCCAACCTTGTTGCCTCATGATGGCTGATGTTAGATCTGTCTCAATGACTGTTGACCTCACTTTTCTCCCTGTGACTGGCGAAAGCCTTGTTCCATAGCATGTGTGCTATGCTTACCTGTGCCATTGTAGGAGGGTTAAACGTTGTGCCTTCATGCCCACAGGTGATGCAGGTGCTGAATGCCGACGCCATTGTTGTGAAGCTGAACTCCGGTGACTACAAGACCATCCACCTGTCCAGCATCCGACCGCCAAGGCTGGAGGGGGAGAACACACAGGTAAGAATAGGGAAGCAGTGCAGCTTCTCTTCAAAAGCCAAAAAGAAGGAGCTGGAGAATTAGTTAAATGTGATACATATTCCTGAGAATTCCGGAGGACAAGTACTTTAAATCGCCAACGTATTTCATAATATTTGAAGCCTAGCTGTTATTGGGAAGACCTCAATTTGTCCTGATTCATACTCACTGTTCTATTTTATTATGAATGGGTTCTGCTGGCATTCTTCCCTTGGGGCTTGGGAGGAGTTACGGTTGGGATATGTGAGGTGGTAGGTGAGATCTTTTCTTAGTGAGATCTTATTTCTCTGAGAATGAGGAGAGGAGAAGTTCTGCATCTGACATGTGTTATAGTAAGCCCCATTTCTGCTGTTCATTTTGATTAGATAGGCTCATTGGTTTTTGCTCTAGGAAGAAATGAATCTTGCTATATATATTTTCTAGGGTCATCTATTCATCTTTTGCAAGTGGTAACTATAATTATCAGTTATACTGTTTGGTGTTTTTTGTTGGGTCTTTTGGCAGCATAGGTGCTTGCCTAACCAATGTGAGTGACTTTGAGAAATTATACTTAGGATAAAAACTGTAAGAATTGGTAGTCTTCAGACAGTTTGTTTTAAATTTTGAGGCCATTTTCTTTCCATTGTTAGAGTTATGAGAGGTTGGGAATAGGAATTGAGGTTGAATTTTTTTTTTTTTTTTTGGTCTGCCTATGTGTTGATATAGATAACTTTACAACTCCTATATTTACCCTTTAATAACCAAAGTGTACAACTGTGTTGACTGGTCACAGAACTGGGTTCTCAGTGAGAGCCAGTGACACAGGCAAGTGTTTGGACATTTTTTTTTCTTTTTGGACAGTTTTCATAAATTAAACAGTGTGGCTGAAATTGTGCTCTCTACTTTTAAAATTTATCTACTTCATAGTTCTAAGGATGTGAAATTTTCTTTTTTGTTGTTTTTCAGGTCCACATGATTTGGTACATGTACAAATTGAAATTCATGCCTTGTTTTCATTTGCATGAGAGTTTACAGACAGCCCATAAGAGTAAAATAAAAATATCATGATTGTCTTTTGAATCAGATTATGCATAAGAAACACATACAGGATAGGTTCTTTGAATGTTTGGCCAATCAGTTCATTCTCTTCCTTTTTCCCCCATGGAGGAGGCAATTTAATGCAGCAAATAGCATTGTGGTAACGTTGAGAATTTAAATGCATGAAAACCTAGAAATGCCAAAATAAGTTTCTCTCAGTAACTGTAGCTCTGCTTCATTGCACAGAGTAAGTAAATATCTCCAATTTGATCAGTATTGGGAGTAGTCCACAGTTCTGCATCTGTGCCATGCAGTTGGAATTAAGGTTCCCACAGCAACCACAACTTTGAAATTCTTAAACGTTAATTTTTGTGCCTGCATCATCAGCCAAATGCATTATGCTAATGGAGGCTATGTAGCTGAATTTTAAGCAGCTTTTAGGAGGGTAGGAGTGTTATAGCTTAGGTAGGATGACAGCAGTTTTTTCTGGAGTAAGAACTGAACTATTACTGAGGGGTTTTAGTTTTTCCAGGATCCTCTGGAACTCTTCAGGATATAATTGGATAGATTTCCCCTAGCCTCAATGGACAATGAGAAGTTGTTGGAATATATGTACTAGTTTAGGCTTTAGCATTCCTTGCTTTTTACCCCGAGGTAGGTTATCTTTTTTATCTCTCTCTCCTTTAATTTCACTCCTGAGAATCTTAGTCCATTTTCAGAAAGTTCTAAGTAAGACTTAGCTCTAAGAGCCTACAACATATGGCTTTTGATTGACATTAAGAATGATTTCCCTTCTTTGCTCATTAAATTCCTTTATAGGATTTTAGTGACAGGTCACAAAGAAAATAAGTTAAATAAGTTAATGTGATGCACCTTGAGCACAGTGGTGGATGCTAAGGAAGTCTTCTCAGGAGCAGCTACTATATCTAAGTGTTCATGGAAGAAGAGAAATTAGAAATTGGAGAAAGGGCACTCTAGACCAATACTGTCTGATACCTATATAATGTAAGCTACAAATGCTAGCTGCATTTGTTAAGTTGTCTGGTAGATCTATGAAAAATTAATTTTAATACATTTTATTTAATATAGCTAAAACATTTTAACATTTAATAAATATAAAAAATAATGAGATATTTTACTTAATTTTTAAGTTTTTACTAAGTCTTTTTAAAAATATATACTAGGTATATAGATATTTTAATTGACTTCAGAGAGGAAGGGAGAGAGAAAGAAACACCAGTGATGAGAAAGAATCATTGATTGACTATTTTCTGCACACCCCCTACTTGGGGGGATGGAGCCCGCAATCTGGGCATGTGCCCTTGGCTGGAATCAAAACTTGGATCCTTTAGTTTGCAGGCCAACGCTCTATCCACTGAGCCAAACCGGCTAGGGCTACTAAGTCTTTTAAATTTTGTGTATATTTTACACTTGGAGCACATCTCAATTAGTTTTAATATATTTCCAGGGCTCAACAGCTACATGTGGATTGTGGCTATGGTAATGGACAGCACCAGTTTAGAAATTCAAATAGGTGGGTTCATCATCATTAGTAATATTTACTGGGCCCACTTTGCATCGGATGTTATGCAGGGACTGCAGCCAGGGGCGTAAACCAAACCCTCACAGAACATTAAAATCTAGTCAGGGAAGAACACAAGTTATTTCGCTTAGTTATGGAACAAAAGTTTAGAATTTATGAGAATGCAGAATGTGAGAGAGCTTCTTTAAGGAACGGTGCTTTGGAGTTAGCTAAGTAAAAAGCAGGGAGAAGACAATTTCTCACTAATCAGAATTGGGTAAGATTGGGAATAGGGAATGGATAGCTATTGTGGATGGTTCATGAGTGGTATGATGCAAAATATAGGCAGGGCCAGATTGCTTGCCCTGTGAACATCTCAGGATACCCGTGAAAAGAGAGAGAATATGGGGCATATGATGAATTCCAAATAATTTAATATGACTGGAATAGAGAGGATAGTTAATGCTAGAGAGTAGAGAAGTGGGCTTGGGAGTTAAGCAGGGGTCATGTGTTAAGCATGTTTGCCACACTTTTGGATTTTGTTTTGAAGAATTTTAAACTGGGGATTTTAGATTTGAGTACTTCTGTGTTGGTGGCAAAATATGAGAGTAATTTGCATTTAGTATAAGAGATCATATTAGATGAAAACTGACCTGCAGCAAGGAGTTGTGGTGTTGCTTTTGGCAAGCCTCTTTTGACCAGGTCCTGTGGGAGAATGGTATGATAATTGAGAACTTGTGGATGTAGGAATAAAAATCACCCGGAGATGCCAGTGAGGATATAATTATGTCTGTAATGACAAGGCAAGCAGGCATCCAACTCCCTGGGGTCTTTGGTTTATGGTATTCTTTATAGTATATCAACTGTTATACAAGGGGACACCAGTTGAGTACTCAAGATGTAGATATTGGAGCCAGAACTCTGTTAGCCATTATGGCACCTTTGTAAGTAAGAGAAGGTTATTCCTTCCTCCAGGCAGCCTCATATCAGGGCACACGGTTTGACAAACAAGAGAGGCTGAATTTCAGCTCCCATTTGCCCCTGTCCCCCTGGCCAGGTGCCCTTGATCAAGGCACAAAGTGCCCAAGAATGTGTGGCTATCCTAGTTAGAACAAGGCCAGTAGACTCCCAATGAGAGTGCTGAGGGTTTAGGAATCGGGGGGTGTTCTTGTAGTGGCCGAAACAGAGTGCTTGAGGGTTATTTGGAGATTATGGATGGACTGTGGAGGGTGTTGAATAAGACACTCAGGAGATTACCTTCCATCTAAGTTTTTGGACACTTTTTGGAGGTCACTGGCTTTAAAATGGAGAAGAAGATACCCTGACAGTTTCCGGTATTGGGGCTTGTTCCGAGCAGAGTGGGAGAAGGTGCAGACTAAGGATCTGGAGGAGCAGGTAAGGAGGGCAAGTCTAGCTTTCTCAAGGGCAGGCAGATGACATGCAGTGACTCGCTTCCAGCTCCCAGATGATGACCCAATGGGGCTTGCCCTTCAAGTAAGAAAGGAGAGATTTCTTGGAATGTTTATCTTCCCCACACCCTGAAGCCTCTAATAACATGTCATCAACTAATAGAGATTTACTGAGACATCTATATATTGTGGGAATAGTAAGGCAAATTAGATTTTCCTTTTTTTTTTTTTTTTAAACAGAGACTAGTTCATTTCTTTTGAATTATACATAGAGGTAAGAAGGTTTTGCCCAAGGCTAACTGTATATACTATTACTTCTCTCTTTTGGTTACTTTCTAATTGCAGCCAGAGGAAGGGCTATGGACAAAACAGCACAATCAAAGGAACTGTTTTTACCCTAGGCAATTGCTTTCCAATAGTACCCTGTATTTCATTATTCAGATTTTGGTTAGAATCTGATTTGTTGCTTCAAAGTATGTCAGGAGTTAAAAGAAAAGGTGTGTAATGGTTTCCCCGGAAAAAGTACAATTGGATGGCTGCTGCTGCTGCTGCTGCTTCTGTGGCACAGTGCTTTTGGATTATTCAGTGTGAATCCAGCGTTGACTCTTTAGAGATGTTAACTCCTTCAGGCTGAGATGCTGATGTGGAGTGCCTGCCGTTCAGTCTACGTCGGGATCCGCGAGCATTGGTTCTAGGGCCTGCTATGGATACCAAAGTCTGTAGATGCTCAAGTATCTTATGTAAAATGGTGTAGTGTTTGCATATAACCTAAGCACATCCTTCCATTTACTTTAAATTATTTCTAGAGTGTTTATAATACCTAATACAATGTAAACGCTCAGTAAATCAGTTGTTATGTTGTATTGTTTAGAGAATGATGGCAAGAACAAAAGTTTATACATGCTCAATACAAACGTAACCATTGTAGGCCTGACTACATAGGACATGTCAGCAAAAACGTAACATTTTTCTTTTCCCAAATATTTTTAAAAAATATATATTTTATTGATTTTTTTACAGAGTGGAAGGGAGAA